AAATTACATTTTTGCTGGAAAAGTAAATTATGTTTTTGAACGTATGAAATAACTCTAAGTCATACTTCCTTCATACAACCAGCATTTTGTGGTCAAATTGCTGAACCAAACTGCTATTCATCCTAATGTTCACTTCTCAAACTTGAGCGGTTTTTGCAGAAATATCAAAAAGAATAGCTCTTCAAAATAATCACTATCGATTGGAGGAGCTTGAACTACGAACTGGTTTGACCTTTGGCAAACTAGGACTTTTATCAGTCTATAGGCCTAAGAGAGTTTTGAGGTTTTTACCTGTTCTCGCTATTGCAAATCATACAGAATGGGATACCACGGATTCGGTGTCGAGTCTGACTGGAAGCTATTCACTGCGTTCCTATTTATCGCCCTCATCAGAAGCCGTTAAGAAAATGGAACCGATTCCACTTCATGCAGACACCGAGAATGTCGGGTGAGTAAATTATATCGCGGGATGTAATGGCCACCGTAACCCACAAATCATTACAGTATATGTGGCGATTACAGTAATTTTGTGCATTACACTATTATAGCTAACTAGCAAAAAGCGATGGTAGTATCAGAGTATTATCTTCGATATAACTTAACGGTGCCAGTATCACAGCAACATTTTTAGGCATATAGTAGCATCTTCAGCAGAATAAATGTAGAATTCCAGCAGCATTACTGTAAAAAGTTTTTACCAAATACGAAAATTTTCAGTACGTTAAATACAAATTTTCAGTATGTTAAATACAAAACGAGATGGAAAGGCCGACAAGAATGGTGATTCTAGATTTTTTTATTATTATTGAAAGACAAATGTATAATTTGCTTCTTGTTTCTGCTGATATGTTATTTTATAGTACTGTAATCCGACTACCTCCGAACATCACAACCAAAGATCCTCCGACCTCGGATTCAACTACGAAAATAATGCCCGAGTAAGTTTATGCTTCAATTTCTCTATTGGTTGATGACAACCTGCATGTCAGTTTGTTAAACTTAGTTGATTTCATTGATATCAGCTTCTGAATTTACTTATTTCGACAAACTCTATAGAAGAAATGCAGAGGCACATGCAAAAAACGAGAACTTTAATGTTTGCCTTCAGTCTCACCATAAGGTATTCACATGCTTTTTGAGGTGTCAGGATAACCTAGTACACTAGAACTGTAAATATTTGGTAATTGTGTATAAAAAAAACCTTATTATATATTCGTTTCTTTTACCCCGTTTTTGGTCCTATTTTTGGGAATGCACCTGCATTCGCAGACGTTTCACTTTTGTATTTTTGCTTTTCAATCCTTTTTTTAACC